CTGCAAGCAGGGCCCGACGGCTATGGAAGGCCTCCAGCTCGGCTCATTATCGGAATTTAATCTGGATTCCGAGAGATCAAGAGGACTTGGTGGCAAGTGGCTGTCACGAGGGGAGAGACGCTGAGGCTAACCCAAAGCCAGCTAATCCCCGGCACCCCGGGGCCTCCCTGGAGCCCCGGCAGAGGCTCGCCAGGGAGCCAGATGGTCCAGCTCCACGCAGCTGGGCGGCTGGTGGCAGCAAAGCCACAGACCCCTCAGCAGAGGGGGCAGGCTGGCCACACGGCGGGGTGGCAGGGGCGGCACCTGGGCTCCTCTGGGGATCAGCTCTTGACGATGCGTGTCCCCAACCCCACCCCACCGCCAGAGCTGGGGAAACGCCAACAGGGGCCCCGCCTCCACACAAGCTCAGGCCTTCATCGCCATCAGAGACCTCGAAGCTAAGAGATTCGCCGGGGGGGTGGGGGGGGAGCAGTGCTGAGGGTCTCTCTGTGTCACCCTGTGACAACGGTGATCGTAGTGAAGAAGGTGGTGATGGTGGTGGCAGTAGTGATGATCTAAACCCAGTGACCCTTTATTGAGCACTTACTATGTTCTAAATAAGTATGTCGGGGCGCCTGGGTGCCTCAGTCGGTTAAGCGTCCGACGTTGGCTCAGGTCCTGATCTCGCGGTTCGTGGGTTCGAGCCCCGCGTCGGGCTCGGTGCTGACAACTTGGACCCTGGAGCCTGCTTCGGATTCTGTGTCTCCCCCTCTCTCTGCCCCTCCCCCGCTTATGCTCTATCTCCGTCTCAAAATATAAATAAATAAATAAATAAATAAATGAATGAATAAATAAATAAAAAATAAGTATGTTAACCCACTTTATCCTCACCACAACCCTGGGAGGTAGATGCAATTACTATCCCCATTGTACAGAGGAAGAAACTGAGGCCCCAAGGGTTACTGGTAGATAGTGTTGGTATTTGAACCCACACTCTTACTAGCCGGGCCATCCTACCTGGGGAATTACACAACAGAATCATTTTGCTTCTGTATTAAAAAAAAAAAAAACAACAACAACAACAACCACCCACCCAGAAAAAGAGATAAATAATTTAAAAAAAATTTTTTTTTAACCTTTTTAACTTCTGGAGAATGGAGCTCTCGTCTCCTTGTCTCAGGTACGGAAAGGAAATTTGGAAATCTGAAGATAGCATTCCCTTTCCCCGCCTCCCCCAACCCCTGCCTCCCCACGCCTGTCACTCCACTCCCCGCCTATTTGCTACTTTGCACCTGTCATGTTATCTCCTCCGCTGGATCGTGAGCTCCTAGCGGGCAGGGACGTGGGTCTGGTTACTCCCACCGGTGCACGGCACACAGCGGGTACTCAAACGTTTGCTGATAAGGGACTTGGTCTCCCAGCAAGCCAAGCGCCCCCAGAGTCGGGGACCCAAAGCAAGGCTCATAGCCTCACAGATTGCCTGTGGCCAAGCTGCTCATCGGGGGCAACCTGCCATACCCACCCTGGCCCCCTGCTAGGGAGCCACGGACAGCCGTCCCACCCATCCCTCATCCAACCACAGTGACGTGGGCCTTCTCCCCTCCCCTGGGGCCTCTGGAGCCACTCCACGGAGCTAAGCCAGGGTCGAGGGGGCAGCAGCCTCAATCCGGGATGGGACAGGTGCCCACGGTGCCAGCAGGTTGAGACAGGCAGAGAGGGGGACGGGAGGCCAGGGCTCGTGTTCCATTAAGCGAGGACTGAGTGGCTCACCTGCCCGGGCAGCATCTCGTCCCTCTGTCCTCCCCACGACCCGCACTTGTCCCTCACTTAGGACCACGGCCTTTGCAGTTCCCCTGAGACACTCTCCCCGCTCTCTCCCACTCCCCGTGGCCAGATCCTTCCTGTCACTCGAACATCCCCAGCTCAGCAAGGCCATCAATGACCACTAGCACTCTGCCAGGCCACGCGGCCCGTTTGTTTCCCATCCACCTTCTCTACCCCGTCGCGGGGAGGACTGTATCCGCTCAAGTCCTCCCCCCGGGACCTAGGAGTGTGACCTTGGTTGGAAAGGGGGTCTTTGCAGACCCTCCGTGGAGTAAGATGAGGTCATACTGGAGGAAGGCGGGCCCCTAATTCGAGATGACTGGTTTCCTTCTGAGAGAGCCACGCGGCAACAGGGTAGAGGGAACGGACGCAGCTGGAAGCCAAGGGCACCGACAGTGGAGAGCCACCCCCGGAAGCTGGCAGAGGCGGGAAGGGCCCCCCCACCACCTCCCAAAGGCTTCCGAGGGAGCACGGCCCTGCCTTGACTTCAGACGACTAGCCTCCGGCACTGAGCACGTCTCTACTGTCCTCGCAGTACTCCATCAGGACGCCCCAGAAACCTAGGTCACTCCTCAGCCACCATTCAGGTGGGCCCTGCCCTCGTGATCTGAGCTTGCTCGTCCCCACGGTCCAGTTCTGAGGCCGGCACCTGGACGCTCAAGGCGGTGGAAGCAACAAATCGCTGGGCTCACACGTCTCTGTCCAAGTGCAGGGGCCTCGCACCTCCACGAAGGCGGTCCCGTGCCCGTCAAGCCGGGCTTGCCGCTCTCAGCCTCCAGCGGCCCCCAGCAGTGCAGGGACCGGCGGGTGACGACACCCCTGGCACCAAGCCCGGCACCGGAGGGTGCGAGCCGGCAGTCCTGGAGCAGGTTCCCGCTCACGAGAAGGGGCGGCATCCCGGCCAGAACCCCCGGGGACCGGCGGCCAGGGAAGGGCCACCGCGCTCCTGCACGGGGACCGGAGAAAGAGCACCACAGGTGCCAGCCGCCAAGCCTCGCGGATGCGTTCAGCCAGACCCACTCGGAGCAGCCACACTCCGGAGGTTAAGCCTCTTGATGGAGATTTCTGAGGCACGTGTGGGGGGCTTGCCAGGAGGGCTGGGGAGCGAGCCGGGCTCACTCGGGGTTTCTGCACAAGGGGGCAACGGAGCGCTATCGACCAACGGCCTCTGCCTCGCCTCCGGCTCATCAGCCTTCACGAGAAAAGTCAAACATCTGGTTTTGTTCAAGAGTCCGGGGGCAATCTGTGAGCGAACGGAGCAAACGTGTGTCGCACCCCCAGAATGAACGCCACGCTTCTTCCTATGAGTCTGGGGGCCAGGGCACAGGCCGTCAGGGTTACCTGGGGCACCTGAGTGTCCACAGTCAGATTCGGAGGCGACTGCCAGGACCGGGTGCCAGCTCCCCCACGCCACACCACGTCCCTTTCTGGTACCGTCCCCTCCAGGACGGCGTGTAGGGCACTGCGTCCCAGTGGGGGCTCTAAAGTGCAAATTTCGTCCACACTGAGATACCACTTGTCGCCCGTCAGACTGACAGAGACCAAACAGTTCGATGAGAGACGGCGTCCTGAGCGCTTGGGAAACAGGCCTCCTCTCCTACGTGGTTGGTATAAACGGACATGACCTCCGAGGACAGCCGTTCAGCAAAACCTATCAGTTGCCGATGCGTGTACCCTCGGACCGCACAAGTCTGTTTCTAGAGCCGTATCCGACAGACACGACGGACGTGAAATAATGCGTCCCTGAAAAAAACGTGTCGTCCGCCTGTAACACAGAGAGGTGGGGAACCCGCCACGCACATGCAGGAAGCTGGCTAAGTCCCTCACGGCATGGTGGCAGAGAGAAAAAGGACGTTCTGTGTGAACCCACCCGGGATCGCCCAAGGCTTGCTGTGAGGCGAAGAAAGCAAGGTGCAGGAGGGAGAATATGAAGAGACGCCCCCTGGAAAGACACACACTCTCGCACACACGTGTTTGCGGATTCAAGGAAGCTCACGGCACTGAACTTGAGGCTGCCTGAGAGACGGGCCCCTGGGACTCAGAGCTGGGCGGGAGCTTCAACGTTCACGTTCGTTGCTTTTCTCGCGTCTGAATTTTATGACGTCCGCGCGTCTTAGCTACTCAAACCTGTATCTTCAAAAGAAACACTTTCTGTATACCCCCCCCCCCCCCGGCTCAAGCCCTAATTTGGCCACTTTCTCTCTGGGTGGTGGGGGGAAACGGCACACCCTTTGCTCTTAGCTCTTAATTCTCCCCACGTCACTGAGGAGTCCCCATCCCAGAGGGCTATGATGCATGCGGAATGAGGTTACACATGCAAACCAGTGGAAATAAGAAAAGAAGAGTTCGGTTTTCTTAGTGTTTAAGACGACCCCTAACATGGCGGTGCTTGGGGAGGTGGCGAAGGTTCCTAGGTCCCTAGTGTGACAGGTCCCCATTCCCGCTGCACATGCAAATAAGGGCTGTCCCTCAGGAGGCGCCATGAATTCCTCCATTAGTTACTAACGAAATGGCATCAGGCGACAATAAAAGACGATAAAAGTCTGCCAGCCTGAGACATCTTGAAAGCCAACCGCTGGGTGTCACCGCCTGGGTCACATCCACCTCGGGAGCCCCTTATGTCCTTGTTCAATGCTCCAGCCCGTCTCAGCCTTCTTACCCCCCGGGAGACCTCAAAACTAAATCAATGCAACATTTTGGTTCCTGACTTCGTGATTCTCCGAAGGCTCAGGTCTCTCTCTGCCTGGTTACTTAGGTTCTGCTCCCCTAACATTTTATTACAAATGGCCACCTTCATTGCTTGCCTGACATCATGGGCTGGGGTTCGCAGTGAGGCACAGGGTAGGCCTCCCCGCAAAATGTTTCTCCCTCTTCCCTACCCCCGTCCCCTCGGTGCCCATGAACGCATGCCAGACCCAGACCCCCCATAAATACCCACGCGGCTCACCTGGCTGTCTCCGATTCCTAACTCAATTTGCTGACAGGGGCTAGTTTTAAGACAGCGACATACACCATAAACTTTCTTGAAAAAATACATTCCGTGGAGGGGGCCTGGCACACGGCTGGTGACCCGTGACGGAAGCAGCCGCGACTGCCCCCTGCCCCAAACCGGCCCCATCCCCTGGCCGCCACCCCCGTCTTCCTCTGCCACTGAGGGAAGCTCAGGACGCCTCCCGGGGACCCGTCACAGCACCCACCTGCCCAAGTGCTCCTGAAGCACCTGGTAAACGCTGATCCGGAACGTCTCATTATCGAAGCGTTCCCGGATGTAGTCCTTGTAGATTCGGAATTCGGCTGCGGTCACGGCTTCCCCTTCTGGGATCTTGGAAAGATCAAACCGGAACTCCCGGTGGTGGTAACGTGGGTGGAAGAACTCTTTGTCGTGCTCCACTAGAAAGGAAGAAAGCACACGGGCACCGAAAGCTCGTTAGTAGCTGGCTCTCACGCTCGTGGCTCAGCGTCCCAGCCAGCCCACTGCCGGGCCCCCCAGGTGCCCCCTGCCCGTTCCCGCTGACCTGGTGCAGCCGGGGTGGGGGTGGGGGTGGGGCCGCAGCCACAGACCCTGTGGTCGCCTTGAGCGACAGCAACGACTCTCCATCAACCCGCTGGGGAGAGTAGGGCACAGACCCAGCCGTCCCAGGGACCCTGGACAGACTCGGGTTCAGGGAGCTCAGGCTTGCGTTCAAATCCGGGCTCTGCCGCTAAGGAGCTGGCCTGCACGAGGTACCAAGTCATCTCTCTGGACCTCGATTTCCTCATCTAAAAATAAGGACAAGAGTCCTCCTTCGGGGGTTGTTGTGAGAGTTAAGTAACCGAATTCTCATAAGCAGGAGTGTTTATGGGGGGGGGGGGTGTTAATGTCTATTTATATTTGAGAGAAAGAGTGCATGTGAGTATGCGAGCAGGGGGAGGGAGGAGGGGCAGAGAGAGACAGAGACAGAATCGGAAGCAGGCTCCAGGCTCCGAGCTGTCAGCACAGAGCCCGACGCGGGGCTCGAACCCACGAGATCGTGACCTGAGCCGAAGTCAGATCCTTAAGCGACTGAGCCACCCAGGCGCCCCACCCCAGATGTTTCTAACGGCTACCAGGGTTTACCACCACAGCCTTAGAGTGAAAGCAGAAAAAAGAGGTGAACGGCAAGGTCAGGGGACGTGGCTTTTGAAAATGGCTTCCTGGGGCGCCGGGGTGGCGCAGTCGGTTGAGCGTCCGACTTCAGCCAGGTCACGATCTCGCGATCTCGCGGGATCTCGCGATCTCGCGGTCCGGGAGTTCGAGCCCCGCGTCGGGCTCTGGGCTGATGGCTCGGAGCCTGGAGCCTGTTTCCGATTCTGTGTCTCCCTCTCTCTCTGCCCCTCCCCCGCTCATGCTCTGTCTCTCTCTGTCCCCAAAATAAATAAACGATGAAAAAAAAAAAATTTGAAAATGGCTTCCGGATAAAGTAAGGCAAAGGCCTCAGTCGCAGCACCCTTCTGCTTTATTCTGGAAGTGATCCTAGCCTCGGGTATGACACCCGCTGCATCGGTAATAAACGCCCCGACGGTACAAGCCCAAAATGGGTGTTTCTGGGAGTGGACCTGTGATTCCCAAGGTGCACGCATCCTCTGGTCCAAGATGGAACAGGGGAGGGGTGGGGAGAGACCAGACAGGCAGGAAAAATAGTGGAACCAGCTTGGCCAGAAGAGGGGAGAAGCACGCCAGCTTCCTCTAGAGCTTTGGGTTAATGAACTCTAGAAGCTCTCAGGCTGGGTCAGGGCTACCCCGGCTGCGAGCAGGACGTGAAACGCCTTGGAGGAAGAAGGTCCCCCTTCCTACAGATCTCCGTTAAAAAAAAAAAAAAAAAATCTGTTTTAAACCTTAATAGTAGTTCTAAAAGATACTGCGATGGGGGCAGGGGTGTTGAGGAATGATCCGCTCATCAGGAGCAGCCCTCAAGGCCAGGGGACTCTGGCTGGGCAGAGGAGTGACCCTGTCACTGGAGAGATCTCGGGAAGGTGACCCCTGAACGGCAGGTGCTGGAATCTTAGGCCACATGTGCAGAGCTGGCCACAGGAATGACCTCTCCAGAAACCACTGGATCTGTAGAACATTTCCTTTGTGACCCGGTCTACGGGCAAGGCTGAGCTGGGTGGCAAACAATGGTGATGGGCACGCGTCACCAGTCCCCCAACTCTGATCTATGCGGAAGTGGGGAGGGAGGGGTCTTTGTGGTAGCTTCTAGGAAGTACAGCCCACTGGGGACCACGGGAACTTTGGGAGGGGGCACAGCAAAGACCCTCGACTCTGTCACTGGGGAAATGCCTGGGGCCGGTCCTCTGTCATCCTTCTAGCTCATTCAACCTTCAGGTCACGCAAGGAGGTGGGCACAATGCCACATTGGCAGGGAAGGCACCTGAGACCCAAGAGGTGTGGGGTGGCCTGCCTGGGGCCAAAGAGCCGGGACTCGAACCCAGGCCCCACCAAATCCCAGCCACGCATCTCAGTGGCTGAGCCAACAGCCCCGCAAGACCAATTCCTGTGCCTGTTGTCAGAACATTCTCATCGCGTGACAGCACGCGTCCGGAACGCGCTCGAACCGTGTGTGCGGTTCTGCACACGGTCAAGGTGAACCTCCCCACGGAGCTCCTCCCAGCTCGACAGAGCATCACCCCCCAGCACCCCCCTGCTCCCCCCAACTTCTCAAGCCACAGGCTGGTTTTCCTTGTTTTTGAATATCATAAACAGGGATTCACACGGTACGTATTCTTTTGTACTCGCCTTCTTTTTTTTTTTTTTTTTTTTTTTTTTTTGAAACAGAGAGCACAAGCAGGGGACGGGCAGAGAGAAAGGGAGACACAGAACCAGAAGCAGGCTCCAGGCTCCGAGCTGTCAGCACAGAGCCCGACACGGGGCTCGAACTCACGAACCGTGAGATCACGACCTGAGCCGAAGTCAGATGCTCAACCGACTGAGCCACCCAGGCGCCCCTCTATCTTTTTTTTTTAAAGCTTGTTTATTTATTTTGAGAAAGAGAGACAGAATGCGAGTGGGGGAGAGGCAGAGAGAGAGAGAGAGAGAGGGAGACACAGAATCGGAAGCAGGCTCCAGGCTCCGAGCTGTCAGCGCAGAGCCCGACGTGGGGCTCGAACCCACGAACCGCGAGATCATGACCTGAGCCGAAGTCAGACGCTCAACCGACTGAGCCACCCAGGAGCCCCTGAAATGTCCCCTTACACAGTCCTATTTAAGTCCCATGGGGCTGTGGAATATGAGAGGTGCATTCCACAGCCCCCCTCCCTCCCCCCATGCCGACAGACTGCACAGATCAAGTCTCCATCTCCAACCATCGGCCTCTGTCCTCCCCCAGAGAACGTGGGTGCAGAACCCCCAGCTTGCAGCAAAGATGCCTGAAGAACCCAGAAGCACACACACACACACAAAGCAGTATTCACGAAGCACCAGCTCTGGGCACTTTCCAGCATCATCTGATCGACTCTGGTGAGGCAGGGTGGATCCCCATTTTACAGATGAGGAACCGGAGGCTCGGGGACTTGCCCAAGATTACAAGTGAAGTGAGTGGCTGGCCTCCGGAAGCCCACTCTGGAACCAGGTGAGCTCAGCTCAAATCTCAGCTGTGTCTATCAGCTGTGTGGTCTTGACCGCGTTCCCTAACCTCTGCATGCCTCCCCTTGCCCCGGGGATAATAATGAGAATGGCCCTTTCTCGCTGAGCCGTCCAGAGTCAGCACCTAACAGCAATGCTGGGCACACGGAACCAATTCACGTCCTGGGCCTCTCAAACGATGAGCCAAGAGAACGAAGGTCGGTGCAGAAGGAGCCTTATGCGCGTGTGGGTACCTGACAACTGTATTTGAAAAAGAGTGCGGTGGGGCACCTGGGTGGCGCAGTCGGTTAAGCGTCCGACTTCAGCCAGGTCACGATCTCGCGGTCCGTGAGTTCGAGCCCCGCGTCGGGCTCTGGGCTGACGGCTCGGAGCCTGGAGCCTGTTTCCGATTCTGTGTCTCCCTCTCTCTCTGCCCCTCCCCCGTTCATGCTCTGTCTCTCTCTGTCCCAAAAATAAATAAAAAACGTTGAAAAAAAATTTTTTTTAAAAAGAAAAAGAGTGCGGTTAGACCGAACACTAAAGACATGTGCGAATAAGCACGACACGAACACAGGTGCCATCACTAAAGTCACCCCCAAACAAGGAGAGAAAAGACTGATGCATAATCACAAAGCTCAATCTAGGCAGCAGGTGCACACAAAACCTTTTAAACGTCTAAGATAAAAATGCATCTTACCTGTGAAGACAGTGAAGCGATCAGGGTTATACGGTTTCTTTTGTTAAAACCATACAGGCACCGAGCGTCCGGCTACATTTGTTGCAAACATTTGCAGGCCCTTTCAGGCGGCTTTCTGAGCAAATTGCCCTCGCTAATGATTTCAGGGCAATGAGCAGCATAAACCACATGGACCTCCTGTGCTTCCTAAGACCACGGCATCGTGGGTTTTAGAAATAACTTTGTGATTTATCAAAGAAACAACAGTCATTCCCCCCCCCCAAAAAAAGAGCAGTTAATAATTCAAAGTCCAAACCAAACTCCCCATCTCGCATATCCAAGGCTTCCATTTTACACAGCAGTCACCCCACAGCACAGAATCTACACCATTTCGATCTCAGGGGTCAAGACGGTTCAGCTCTCGCCACGAAAGCAGAGAAATGCATGTACTTTGAGGGAGTAAATACGTCTTCACATTTCCTTGTCACGTCACCATTCTTGATTACCCAAGACCTGGGTTTTGAAATAACTGCCTAGAGTTGTTATCTCCCTTTGTCCATACAGAAAAGCTTTCCAAAGGGAACCCAGAGCCTCAGAATCTAGCTTGTTCTGCACTGACCTCTGCACTCCAGCACCCCACCGGCTAAGAGAGCTCCCGGGCACGAACGAAGAGTTTCATCTTCCAAAGATGAAAAGGGCCCAGATCTCCGAGACCAAGAGAGAAGTCCAAAGAAAACGGATTCCGGGAAACACCATTCCCCAAAGCCGATTTTCGTGTCCTTTTACAAAAGGCTGGAATTAATAACCCCCACGCTGGTCCTGGGAGGGGTAATTCTGGGCGGGAGAATGTCAGTGTTTATCGACATTTATCTGTTTAGCAGAGGCAGGTGGGAACAGGAAGCCACCCGCCCGGGCGTCCCTTCTCACCACCCGCTGACACGTCAGGGAACACCTCTGCCCCACGCAGGTGACCACGGTCGCGACACCCGACACGCAGACTCACGCAGCTGGCTGGGTGCTCACCCGTCTGCGTCCTTCCCTCAGCCTCCCCCCCGTGTGGCTGTGTGTAGTCAAGGGTCATTCGTCTGCACTGCTGTATCGAACCCCGTTGTGGGTACAGGCCCCCATCTCCTC